TTCTAAAAAAATACTTAATAGCTCTGCAACACACTTGTACATCAGAGCACACAGGTTAGGAAACATTGCATTACACAAAAGTCTAGAAACATTAGAGCTCCATAATAGTTCATATATGATGTTACAGAAAGCTGCTAAACTAAACACCTGTGACATAGGAAATTCTTAACATAAACAGCACGCAAACAAAATAATATTTCCTGTAATTATGCCTTGACCTTGTTCTGGCATAGCATTAGGCACCAGGTAATAAACTGAGTAGAATACACACAAACAACAACATAATATAATAATAATTTTTTCAGGGTTTATTTTAATATTCAAATAAAAAATAACTTTAATGTTCATAATATGCAATGAAATGAATTTGAGTTGATCACTCAGCTCTTATTTACTGTGGAGAATACTAAGTTTAGTTTACGTAGACATTTGCTAGTAAAGGCAAAAGCAGAATGTGAAAAACTATTTTTGTACAGCAAATTTGATTCTTACTGCCATTTTGCAAAATAAAAACAGTGAAATGAGAAATCTTATGAAAACAGCAGCAAATGTTATTAAAACAATATGACTAATAACAAATTTTTTAATGCTTAATTTGTCCATTTATTTATTAAAAACTTTCAAAAATAATTATAATAATTATGTAAATAAAATTAGACTGTATATAATTCTTAGCTTTTTTAAGAAAACCTCATTTCCAGAAATTCATCATTCTGATTAGTGACTAAATATTTTTCATTATAGAAAAGTTTGTATGTTAAAATTAAATGGGATTTGCATAACAAAAATTTACTGGAAAAGATGTCACTGCCAATATAACATTCATTCATTTCAGTTTTTTTTTTTTTTTACAAAAATTTGCTCTCTCTATGAACTATGCTTAAAATTAAGACATTAATATGATTTCCTAATTAATTTTTTCTCATTTATTTTAATATTTATTATTATTATTGTTGTTGTGCTTATTTAGTAAATAACAGAAATGAAGCAATGTAATTAAAAAAATTGTGTTTTGGCAGCCAATTAATTAAAAAAAAGTGATTTCTTAAGAGATTAAGGTACAGAGTTTTAAATTGTAGTTTTTTAGCTAATTGTTTTTGAAAACTTATAGCCAAAAGTCAAAGATTAGCCAAATCCAAATTGTGACTTCGTAAAATGAAACACATCACTTAACTTAGTATTGCATTATAACTTACACAGAGCTGAAAATTTCACCAAAATATATGGGGGAAATCTTTCCCTAATGGAGGCTGTATTTTTATACTGTTTTAAATCAATTTAAATAAACTGAATTTTTTCTAACCAATCATGAAATTAAAAATTTTCAAACAGTTTAGTTTCTGAATTCAAATTTTAAAATTTTGCAGTCAAAATTTGACAGCCAATCAAAGCATATCTCCAACTTCCAAATATTAAATAAACAGAAATCCAATAAAATCTTTTAGAAATAATTTGACTGCTGATAATGGATAATTTAAATTATGATTATTTATTTGCCTTTTTATTTCTATAAAATTACAAATGCAGTTTCTTTAAAGGGCTTTCCTTTTACTTTTGTGTTCATTTTTTTTATGGCAAATTAGATGATGAAATCTGAGTTGTTGTTGCTATTTGATGAAAAACTACCAGTATTTTAATCCCAAATTCATTCTATGATAATGACTTGATGGATTGTAATGGTCATGTCATCCAATGAATGCCAAGATTTTGTTTTGTTTATCCAATTGCTATTTAGAAAATGATACATTAAAATTATTTCACTGTTGTCTTCCAACTCTATATTATTATTAAATAACTTTTGATTATATGTGATTGCTACTTTTAATTAATGTAAACTGAATTTCTACACTATAATATAAAAATAAAATAAACAAAATTGTAATGGCATCATCGTAAGTTTCAATTTCATTAGAAAAATGGGGGAAAATGTTATTTGTGCAAATAAATGAAACATTGCACAGTGAAGTTAGAGCTAACAATTTAAATGTCCCCTCATGTTCATGGATATTTGGGACCAAGTAATCCTTCATGAACATTGAATTCTCAAACTTTAAGTTTTATTTAATTTGTAATTTATTTCAAGACTACGTATTACTGCTGCTTTAAAAATTTTCAGAAAAATGGATGGTTTTATTAAATAAATACATTGTGCAATGGTTTATAGTGCTGCAAAAGTCATTTTATATAAGCAAAAACATAAAATAGATAAGGAATAATTACTGGAAATATGTTGGCTTCCAAGATACAAATTCAAGTAGGAGTGACTAATAATGTCAATTATAGCATGCATTAAAGCAAGATATGTATATATGTATATATTTAATGATTTCAGGGAAAATTGCAGTGGTAGGTGAATATATCTAATGCACAAAGAATGTTTTTTCACCTTTTCTAAAGATGCTCTTCATGACTTTACACAAAAGAAAAGCTATTTGATAAGTTTTTATTGCAAATTTAGAGGCAGCATATAATCTAATCTATCACATAACCTGAATCAGCTTTCAAATTGCCTGTTTTAAACACAGATAACCATATAATACCATATAATATTACTGGTATACAAGATAAACAAAATATGCAATTACCAACAAACCAGCTTGTATGATAATGACTTGATGGATTGTATGATTAGTTAAATCAAATTTTTGCTGGTTTGTTGGTGATTGCATATTTTGTTTACAGATAACCATAGATTATTTGCACAAAATTATAGTATTCTTTTTTTTGTAAGTATTAATTTTCAATAATCTTTGATATTTGTAATTGTCTAAGATTAACATAAAATTAATCATCAAAATCTTCATTACAAACTTCTGAGATGATAAACATATATTCATTCCCATTTCTATAAAATAGCGAGTATACTGTTTAATTCAATAATATGCACTATATGATATCAATGATTATTAATATATGTACAAATGGTGTGTGTGTTATAGAAATGGAAAAAGAGATAAAAGAATATAAAGACTTAGAACAGTTATTGATTTGAGTAATTGTTAATCTCTTTCTTCACTTCAAATTTTGTTTTTATTTTTTGAAATGAAGAAAGATACTATTTACTTCTGTATTCATACATAATTCTACTAAAAATCCACAATTCGCTCAAATGAAATCATTCAGAAATTAAAATTTTGAAGACAGTAGGAATACAGAAACATTTCATAATTCATAACTATTAACTAATGTCTGAATATAATATTGTATGTATTAGTTTTCATCATTAAGTATTAGTTTTAATATTTAATGCAAAATTATATTATTTAAGTAATAACAATAAATAAATTTGTAGAAATATATTACAAGTAAATCCAATTAACTATAATTATGTAATAAAATAGTTATCTTATTATAAGCATATTTATTCTATTAAAAAACAAAAAAAAAATTATAATTCATTCTGTCATTTCAAACTAGATCAGTTTAAAAGAAATGAGATACTATTTAAACATTATTATTTTAAAAACACAAAAATAAAAATATAATTCCAGTGATTTTTCAGTGCAATAATGTATGTAGTTTTAAATCACAGGAATTGTTTATATTTTGTAATTTAATTCTATTAGTTCTATTATTCTATTAGTATGGGTTACCATAATAGTTGAAGGCAAAATACGAGTAGATTAGCATTAAAAGTACTCATACAGAGAGGCAAAATAAAAGAAATTTCTTCACATTTTTCAATCTAGTAAATGTAGGTAGATAATGTAAAGTTTCAATTTACACTTTCTTTTGGGATAAAATGCAATTTTAAATATATTAAAACTATCTTACCACCTAAACAAGTACTACTGAATTAAAAAAAACCATTATAATGAATGTTTGTGCACATGTTCTCTAAGCAACAAAGCTGTTACATTTGCTTATACATTGTTGCCACCTAGCCAAGAAATACAATAATTATCATAAAAAATTTACCACTTTTTGTCAGATTTAAATCTAAACGGTTACAATTTAACTAATAGCTGCAAGATCAGTCAAAAAGTACGACCATTTTAAAAATTTTTTCGAAGTATGGTACGGACACAGCCTTTAAAGTACAGACTTTAAATACGGATGTACGATAACCCAAATTCTATAGATCTTGGCAAAGCTTTAATTAATAGTGTCTGAATTTACCAGATAAGAATTTTTATTGTCAGAAAAAATAATAAAAATCTTTCATTGTGGAAATTTGTTTTTAAATTCAATATTGGAGCACTTAATTAAAAGTTTTCAAAATATCAATATCTCTAAAATCAAACTAAATATATAATAGGTAAATTCTGTAAAAATCATAAAATATATCAAATAGGTCTAACATTTTAAAATTTCAGGCAGATGAAACTTACTGTTAACAAGTATTGTACATGTAAAATAGACTAATAATATAACATTTAAGATGTTATAATGATAAGAGTTTACATATTTTATCATAACAGATAACTTCAACCTCTGTATACATTTTTATACCTTATCAAATACAAGTTACAGTCTCAGAATTAATATACTGTATATGAATTAACTTAGAAAGAGCTATAATATAAAACATATTTAAAAACATTTATTACTATACAAAAATTTTTTTTTAAATAAAAGTAAATAATTTTTTATATATTATTTTCAAAACTTATAATCGAATGATACTATTTATAGAAAATATGCAGTGGATAAAGTTTTAAGGAATTCAAACTTACTTTCCAAATATTTCAACAAAAAAATATCTAGTACATCATTATTTTCATTACAAGATATAAATATAAATCATGTTATATCATGTTCTTTAAATAAATAATGAATCATTTTGTTAATATTAAAATGAAATGATACTACTTCAATATCATCCTTTTAAACCATTCTTTACATAAAGAAATTGAATTTAAACACTTTATATTGAAAATTTTTTGACAAAATAGATACAGCTTATTAACTTTACACATTAATAAACTATCAAAATTCTTAAAATATATTTATACAAATACAGCTATTATTAAAAAGAATTAATTTTTTTTTTTACTTACCAGCCATGTTTGGCATGAGCTTATGTAATAATCAAACACAATTTACAAGTCCTGGTATAAATTTGTACCTTATGTAACAAAAAAAGAACACAAATTACAAAACATTAAAGGATTTTGAAATATGTAATACATAATTAGAGTTTAAAACTTACAAAATTTAATTAGGCTTAATACCTAATGTCAAAATCAAGACTTCTTTTAGCGTTTTCCATAAAATTTCAGTTTTAAGAAATGTCTAACGCGCTTCGATATAACTTTACCTTTAAATTTATTTCTATAAACTAAAGAATTATTTTCTATTTAACAATTTTGACAAAGTTTAATTTAGAATTTATCCACTACTCCGGCTCAGGTGGTGATTCACATATTCTATTCATCTCCTTCTAGCGGTTAAAATTGATAAATACAAAAATATTTTTATAATTTTAATATATTTTTTTTGAAATTATATGTAGTATATATTTATATTATATACATATATCCCGCATATATATATAATATATGTGTATCGATTAATCTAGATTCGATATCGGTTTTCCAGAGCGGAAGGCTAAAGACCGCCACAAACTAGGCAATGGCGTCGCTTAAGACGTGACGTCAGAGGCAATTTTTATGGTCACGTGACTGTTTTGCCTCGACCATCGGGCTAATCCGATAAGCGTCTAGCTGCAAGGACTTTTTAAACTACAAGGATAGCCAGATCCCGTATATTTGTTAGCATGACCTTGGATCTATGTGACGTCACAACAAGTCCTCTACTTCAACACGACAGACCTTTCAAATAGCAAAATACGATAAAATATTAAGTCATTTCTTAATTAATTATTAAATTACTACTAAATGTAAACTACTGTAGAATTTTCGGATTTAATAAGTGTACTGTACGTCAATAAATTTACAAGTCTTTTGTCTAATATTTATTTAACAAATTAATGAGCTATACTTTTTAATATGTGATTATCTTACTTAACTTTTTAATTTTTTTCGACAATCACCATTTTCAGAAGGCATTCTTTTCAATATTTTATAGTTTTCTTGTTTAAGATTTCTATAATTAATTCTTATTATAGTTCTTAATTTACAAAAATCTTTTATTAAAGTAAAAGGTAAAACTGTTTCCACTAACTAATTCTGTACAACTCCGGGGCCTTTTTTATACGATTCATCGTGATATATTTCGAAATATTTATTCCATTCTA